CCAAAAGGGTCAGGGAGGTAACCTGTAAGCAGAGACCTTCGTTCTCAAAGGAGGCAGCTCTCTAAGAGCTGGAAGAAGAGCAACCAGGCAGAGGGAACAACCAGTGCAAAGGCCCTGAGGAGAGACGAGCCACTGAGGCTGCTTAAAGGGCAAGGAGGGGTTCGGTGGAGGAGATGGGAGTGGTGAAGCCAGCTGTCTGCTCACGGAACTTATTCAGATGTATGACAGGTCACCCAAACAGCCAGTCCAAAGTGACAGTCTCCGTCCCCAGCACCCTCCACCCCCCCCCAACCAAATTGTTTCTCCCTCTTTCCTTCTCGTAAATGACCACCCATGCCATTGCTCAAACTACACACACCCCAAGCCCTGTTACCATCAACTCTGGCTGTGGCCTCTTCACTGGTCTCCTGGCCTTTACCCCGGTCCTCAACCAAAGCCCCTAAAACTCTCACCGAACCAATCCCACTATCGCTTTATTGCTCCAAAGCTCTCTTCTCTCACTTTGTATTTCTTGCAACAATCCCAACCCACAAACTCGGGGGCACATATTTATTATCTTTTTAACGGAGAATCTGAAGTTGATCACAGCCACAGGGGCATTGAGCCCCTAGTTAATTCACACACATCCCTTCAGCGGTCCCCAAGCTGACAGTGTTTCCAGGATGGTGCTGGGGACGGGGCATTAATTATCGTAGGACTGTTTATCAGGCACCCGCAGCACTCCTGGCCATGTGGCCAGAGCTTTACAATGACCCTGCAAGGGAGGTGTGATCATCATCCTATTTGGACTCAGAAAGGTTCGGCTTCTTATCCTAAGTCCCCCAACTGGCCCTCCCCAGATTGGCACAGTGGATAAATAGAGCATCAACCTGTGGATTGAAGTTTCCTGGTTAGATTCTGGTTAAGGGCACATTGTAGAGGGCCGCCTAAGAAGGCACACTGGCATCTTCCTTAAATTGTCAGCTGAGTCCAAGATAACTGGCAGAGCCGAGGCTCGGACACACATTTCCCCAAGATGGCAGAAAGTGTAATCAGTTTGGCCTTCATATCAAGCCTAGGTGTCAGCAGGGGTGCAGGGGCGGGTCTAGATATGTAAATCCAGACAAGCACCAGGAATGCTAGGGCCTACTTAAGAATGCAAATAAGCTCCTTTGACCCTAAGTTTTGGTGTTACTTCCTGGTATTGGGGGTATAAAATAAATGCTCTGGGAGGGGTCAAGTTGTCCTCTTCTTCCTGCTTTTCCAGCTGACAGGATGGCGGCCCACCCAGCTCCCAGCTTTAAATCTATCTCTGTGTCTTCTCTCTTTATTTCTAGTATTTCTCAATCCCTGGCCACCTCCATTTAGAACCTGTTTGTTCATCTCTCTTTCCGTGCTGGACATGGAAAAGGGAGATCCCTGCCATGTCTGGCCCCTGCAGGGTATGCCTGGTTTGCAGGCTTGATCTCTCTCATCATTGATGTTTCTCTCTCTCTTTCCCTCTCCCTTCCCCTCTGAAAGGCCCTGCTCACTCCAGGCCCCATCCCCCAGCAAGGATTTGGAGTTGGGTCTCTCCGATGCCAGAGCCCAAGTTCTTGCTTCTACATAAACTTCCTCCAAGACTCAAGTGGGCTCAGAGCGGGGTGCCTTGACCTCAGACCTGGGTGACTGCCTTTCATTCCAAATCAAAGCCTGCTCCCTGGGTTCCTTGGCACCTCCTCAGCCTGGCACGATAAGAAGTTTAGCACCTTTTGTCTACCCAGCCCTGAAGAGATGAAGGTGTTCCAGTCCTTATCTGGTCTGGCTTTCAGGCCCCGTCCCGCCACCTGCCCCCTCTCATGTGCCCTGTGCTGCCAGGTGGTCACCTTCCTGACATAGGCCGCTGTCGCCAATACCCAGATGCCCTTCAGCCTGTCGGCCTCTTGATCAGGAAGCATTCCCGTGGGAACCATGGTGCCAACATCCGGTCAGAGAGGGCCTTCTGATACCTGCTGGCCCTGCTGCCTCTGTTTTCAGGCCCAAGAACAAAGGAGCTCGGTGCCTGCCGCCCGGCAGGCTGTGTTTGTCCAGGGCGAGGCCTAGCCCTGGCACAGATGCTGCGCAAACAGGAGTGTCAGCTTCACAGATCCGCCTCACGACCAGCGGGGCTTCAGCTCGGAGGTGTTGCTGCTAGGCCACCTGCTGAAACGTTACCCTGTTCCAACCAGCACCCCGGGGCAGAGGGGACTGTAGGGCAAGCAGCCCACTCTCTAGGCCTCAGGCTTTCCGGCTCTGCAATGGGAGCGTTGTACAAAAGATCTATAAGACTCCTTCTGTGGCCTAGGACTGGAGAACGGATCTGGGAGGCAGAGGTACCGGGGTTGGGTATGAGATCTGGGCTTCTGTCTCATCGCATCTTATCTCCACCCCTGATTGAGCCCCATCCACTCCACATTGCCTCTGTCTGGCCAGCAGGACTGACCTCCCTCAGAGCAATGCCCTTGAGTACTGGATCCGTGACCCTGTTTACCCCAATGGAGCTTTTAGGATGGGAACTAGGTTACTTCACAGTAAAACGATTAAGTGGTACCATCTTGGTACTGAGGCCTAGATCTGATTTTCTCTCTCTGCCTCCAGAAACCTTAGGGTCCCTGGGAAAGGCTCACAGGGACCATGGAAGGATGTTTCTCTAGTTAGGACAGTGAGAAGCTCCCTGGCGATAGCAATTCCCAGATTTTAGTGAACATCAGAGTCACCTAGAACCCTTGTTTAAAATACCGTATGCTGGGTTCATTATCTCAGAGATTCTGAGTTCCAAGATCCGAGGTGGGTTCAGGATTCTCAGTTTTTTTTTTTTTTTTTTTTTTTTTTAATTTTTATTTTATTGATTTTGTACAGAGAGGAAGGAAGAGAGACAGAGAGTTAGAATCATCGATGAGAGAGAGTCATCGATCAGCTGCCTCTTGCACACCCCCTACTGGGGATATGCCCGCAACCAAGGTACATGCCCTTGACCGGAATCGAACCCGGGACCTTTCAGTCCCCAAGCCGACGCTCTATCCATTGAGCCAAACCGGTCCCGGCTAGGATTCTCAGTTTTTAACAAGCACCTAGGTGATAGTTAGATCTCTGATGAAGTAGAATGAGCATGTCTAAAAGCTATGCAGTCCCGGGTTCAAATCCCATCCCTGACCCTTATTAGCACTATGACTTGGGACAAGTCACTAAGTCTTTCTAGATGTCAGTTTTGTTTGTGAAATGAAGCTAAAATAACATCTACCTCGCAGTAAATGAAACCTATTGTTTCAGAGTGTTTATTGCACTTTGTAAATGTTTGTTGAGCAAACGGGGTAGAAGTCCATTTGTTTAAAACTTGCGGTTCTCCTTGATGTCTCCATCTACCACTCAATCACAAATCCCATTAACTCTACCTCAGAAAACACATGAGACCTGCCCACTCCTCTCCAGCCCTAGCCAGCTACCACTCTAGCCCAACCTTCTGCCTGACCACTGTACAGCGTCCTCTCCGATCTGATTTTCTCCAGGACCTTCACATACTATTCCTTCCCAGAGCAGCCATGCTAATCCGGTTGGGTAATGTCTCTGCCTCCAGCCCTGGCCCTCAGAAAAGCCTTATGATTCTGGAAAAAATTCCCTCTGGTTCCTCCACACCTACTGCTAAGCCCTTTCCAGCCCTTCTCAGACTCTGCAGTCAAGATCTGAACTTCTTTCAGGTTTCTTCCATGAATAGCAGCTTCTCTTACCTTGGGACTTCACACAGAGTGTGTTTGCTCTGCCCTGAAACAGCCACCGCCCCCACTCCCAGGACACACACACACTTCACCTATTCATCATTCATATTTCAGCTTGAATGTAATTTCCTCAGGGCCAGACATAGCCATCCCCCTCACATGTGCTCTAGTAACTCTGTCCTTCCTTCATAATACCTGTTACTCTCGTCTGTGATGACTTCATGCCTGCTTCCACCAACTAAAGTAGCTCCAAGGAAAAGAACACACATCTCTGTCTTATCCATTGCTGTAGCGCCAGGTACTGGAGTCTTTGGCTCAGAGAAGGATGAAATTGACGGCTGAAAAATGAATGAATGAATGAGCGGGAAGGCTTTGGTCGCAGGACTTTTGGAGGTGAGTGCCTCCTGATAGTACCTGAGCTGAATTTAGGGTCTGGATGTGCCTGGAGAAAAGACAGCCACGTGGGGACGCCTCTGGACATGTACCGGCCACAGGAGGGCGCCCCCGGTTCATTGTACCTGGGTAGCAGCAGCTCCTCGATTACTAACCACCCACAGGCGACGGGAGGCGGGTCTTCCCTCTGATGGACGGCGTTGCTCCGCCCAATCTAATTCATCTTTTCCTCGGCCCCGCCCACCCCAGGTCTGGCCGACCCCGAGGATGGGCTCGCTGGAGGTGCCGCCAACTGAGCTCCCGCAGAGCGCAGTCGGGGCAGAGCCCGCCCTCCTGGTGGCCTGTGAGTGGGCGGCCGGGGGCTAGGGGCGGGCCTCGGGGCTGACGGGCAGGCGGCCGTCCCCGCCCCCCTCGCCCAGAGCGGCCGCGCCAGCGCCGGGCACAGCAGAAGTGAGTACGTGAGCGGCGCAGCCAAGACCGTCCTCGGACCCTTGACGCACCCCGAGTCCCGGATCCGAGTTTGAGCCCGCGGCGTACCCCGGATTACCGTGCACCCCGAACGACGCGACCACCTGCGCCCCTTCTCGCTCCGGCTGGCCTCCCCGAGCTCTCTGGCTCCGAGCTCTCCAGCGCCCAATCCTCCTGGACCGGTCTGTCCGGATTCCCGCGGGAGACCGACCAGCCAGCCAGCATCGCCGGCTCCAGGCGCTGCCGCCTCGGTCCCGGAGCCGCTCGCCTGCATTGCACCCGCTCCCGGCCCGACCGACCTCCCGGGGACTGTGCGCGACGCGAGCCCGCCGCGGAGCCCGAAGCGCGGACCCTCCCCCGGGCGGCCGCCCGCAGCCCCGCCGGCGCGGCTAGGCGCGGCCCGGCCCGGCTCCCGGAGCGCCCCCGGCCATGGCCCGAGCCCGCCCGCCGCCGCCGCCGCCACCGCCGCGCCTGCCGCTGCTCCCGCCGCTGCTCCCGCCGCTGCTGCTGCTGCCGCTGCTGCTGCCCGCCGGCTGCCACGCGCTCGAAGGTGAGCGGCGTCGGGGGGCGCGCCCAAGAGGGTGCAGGCGCTCCGGTCGCCCGGGCGCGGGCTGAAGGGAGCCCGCAGTGTGGTTCCGATCCGGGCTGAGCGCACGCCGGAGGAGGGTCCCCCACCTGCGCCCGCTCCTGCTCCCGCTCCCGCGGCGGGAGGAGAGGCGGCGAGGGCGCCCCCCGAGGCGCCGCGGAGGCTCCGGCTGGGTCCGAGGCCGGCACTTGCACGGGCTGTACGATTGCGGGCCGCTGGACTCGAACGTCTGTCTCCTCGAGTCCTGGCGGCGCCGTGCACTTGTGCAGCGAATACCCCGCGGGGAAGCGGGGCTCTGGGTACCTCCGGGAGAGGCCAGGACGTGCGGGCGACCCGAGCCAGGCGGAGGCTCCGAGGCTGCGGCAGAGCGGTGGGGAGCGGGACTCCCCAGGTTTGGGGTGGTGGTGGGGGGGTGGAAGAAGGCGTTGGTTAGGAACCCGTTGGAGCTCATTGTGAGCGTGTGAAGGAGTGCACCCCGCTTTGTCAGGGGGTGGCAGCGGGGGTGGAGAGGCCGGGGCCTGTTATTGTTGATGGTTTTATTGAGTGCCAGTTGCACCTGAGGTGTTACGGGCGCTGCACACTGCTCTGCGGATCCCCGCCTCCACCTTCTGCCAGGACCCCCTCCCCCCCCCCCCCCCCAGCGCTCCGGTCTCCATGGAACCCCTGAGGTGGTGGGGCTTGCCCCACGTAGCTCTGGATGGAGCCCTGTGCCTTCCCCACTCGCCCAGTGGGGAAGGCCGGGCTTCTCAATAGCCTCTGTGAGCCCTGCCAAGACTGCTGCTGAGAGGGTAGCTCCAGCTCCCCGATGGCTGTACTTGGATGAACGGCCCGAGTGTTGTCGGCGCTGGCGAGGGAGCTCACTCACGGCCACTTGACACCGGCCTGCCAGGGACAGGGGCGCTGACATTGGCCGCAAACGAGACACACACACACACACACACACACACACACACACACACTTTCAAAAATGCCCCAGCCATTTAAATGGGGGAAGAAAAAAACCTGTAAGATGGAGGGAAGGGCACCCCCTGAAATTTGGGGGACATGAGCATAAAGGCAGTCCTTATGTTTTGATATCTTTAACAGATCTAGCCACTTTCTTAGCTGAAGAACAAAAACGACTTCAGTGTAACTTGATTTGTTCACATGCTCGCCATGGGTAAAGTTAAAGGTTGGAAGGGAAAAAAAAAAAGAAACACAGAGAAAGGCATCTTCGGTGCTTCCTGATTTTCTCCCATGGACCCCTATCCCCCCTTTCACCTCTGAACCCGCCGGTGCTGACAGACCCGAGTCCCACCGGTGGACACATGCAAATTCAGACAGACACACCAAGGTCGCGCCCACACTTGTGCACACTCATCCACATGTGTGTGATAGGATCGCTGGCGTGAGAAACCAGAGTGGGGCTTTGTTGTTGATTGCCTCAAGGGTGTGAGCCAGGGAGCCTGATGGAGTTCCCAGGTCTGTGTCTTAGCCCAGGAGAGGCGACACAGGCACACACGCTGCTTATGGGGCTGTGTGTGCCAGGCCCCAGCGCCCTTGTTATGGGTGTGGTGGGTGCTGGTGCCCAGATTAGGGTGGGGGTGTGTGGTTTGGGTCAGGTGAGGTACAACTACCTGAGGAGGCTCTCCCTCCCTCCTCCCGCCTTCGCCCCCACCCCCACCCCCACACTCTGTCTTTTCCTCTCTGTCCCCATCCCTTTCACCCCTCACAATTTGCGGCAGCCCCTAGCAGGAGCTGGCATCTGGAGACCGAGGACCTGAGGGGCTGGCTAGGAGGCAGAGACTTGATGAGCTGTAGTCTCTCCCCATCTCTCTCCCGCCCCCTCAGCTGTGAGCGGCTGGGCCAGTGTGCCCCTAGGAAGCAGAGAGTGGCTTTCAACAGTTCCTTTTGCCAACCTCAGACTCTCGTGTCTTGAGTTTGTGTGTGTGAAAATGAAAGGAAGAGGAGAGATGCCTCAGGGCATTGATCCTAGCCCTGCCCGTACCCCTACCCACCCTCCAGCTCCCCTCACAGGGAGATGGAATAAGAGAGTGCCCACCTCCTATGGCTATTGAATCCTTAATGTGTGTAAAGTTCTTAGCACGGAGCTGTGGCTATTCAAGGATTCGCTGTTATTGTTATTACTACCCTAGGGTTTGCTCCTAGGGGGACCTCAGAAGTGGAAATTTATGTTGTGTCCTTACCCCGTCGTCGTCGTCGGAGGACAATCACTGGAAAGAGAAATGGGGAAGGGAAGGATGGGAAGAGAGCGGGCTCTGACTCCAGCCTGTGCCCCGCTCCTGTCCTGGAGCTGGGAGGTGGGGTGGGTAGACTTGGAGGTCCTGGGCTGTGACCAGAGAGCAAGCACGGGAGATTTCTTCAGCGCCCCAAGCTTTAGGGGCAGGCGGGCGGGGTGATCCAGTCTCCTTCCCCAGCCTTCCATTTGGCTTTGCCAGTTTGCTCTGGGCCTACTGGAGACTTTGGCTCTTGCAGGGGGCAGGGGGGGGGGTGCTTATATTTAGGCTCAGGGTCCTTGGGCTAAGGGTGCAGCCCCTCACGGACCCACTCATTAGACACTGCCTAGTACCGGTTGCTCTTCCCTCCCTGCACCCTTGGGGTTCAGGAAGACTCCGTATCGAAGGGATTGCATTCGCGTTCTGTGAGGATGGAGCCCACTAGCTTGTCCTTCCTGGTGGAAGAAATACCCCTCCTCTGGCCCTTTGATGGATTGCCCCACCCCACAACACGCTCGAGGTCACACACACACACACACACACACACACACACACACACACACAACTGTCCTCGGGTTTACCCGCTGACACAGGGAAACAAGGCCACCTTGTTGCTCACTTTCCTTTCGAGTAAATGCTCTCTCTAGTGTCCTAAGCCGGGATCCTTCTCTGTTTCAGAAACCAAGAACGGGTATGGGAGTGGGACCCAGCAGGCGAGCAGACCGGGAACGGGGTGTGGGGTGGGGAAGGCTGTTTGAACTGTATGAGGTCCCTCATACCTGTGAGAGGATGGGGAGGCCCCTGTCAGTGCCTTTGGAGAGAAGAGAAAGGACAGTGGGATGGAAAGCCAGCGCAGCCCCCTCCCGGCCGGCCGAGCCCCCACGGTAGCTGAGCTGCGGCTGCAGGGGAATGGGTCCCGGAGGGAAAGGGCCCGGGTGTGAGTCCGGCTCTTTCTCAGGCGGCAGCCGTGGCCCCTGTGTGGGTGCTGGCCGAGGGGGCGGGGGACAACAGCTTGGGATTTGTGTGGCTGGCTCCCTTGTTTCAGTTGCCTCTGGCGGCCCCCACTCCCCGTCCCTGTTTGCTCTGAGCTGGCACACTGAAGAGCGGCCGCTGAGGGACAGTGGCAGGCATTGGGGGAACCAGTTTGTTTGCCTTCCCTTTAGCCAGAACTGCCGCTGCCGCCGCTGCCTTGGCCCCAGTGGCAGTGAGCTAACGCCGAAGCTGCCGGACCGCCACCCTCCGCCGCCGCCGCCGCCGCCACCGGCCTTATACTAATTAAACAGCGCGAAGAGGCTGAATCACCAGGCCTCTGCATAGTTTTAAAATTGTAGCCCTGCCTGTTGTGCTGAGTCAAACTGGTTTGTCGGTATCGGGCAGCTGGGGGAGGGAAGAGTGTGGGGAGGGAGCCCGGGTACAGCTGGGCACCTGATGGGGTGGGAGAGGCCCCTTGCCCTGGGGGTGGCCCTGGCGCCAGGTCTCCTATTGCCTCCTGTCCCCAGACTCCTGGCCAGGCCCACGGTGACCTGGATCCCTGGGAAGGGCTCGGAGGCCTCACCTAATGGCCAGCTCTCCATCCATCCTCGTCCTTGGGGCTGGATGGCAGGGTCAGGACTGGGGTGGGGGCATGGGTGAGCATGGAGGCATCTGGGCTCCCTGCCCTGCGCCTCTTCCTCCCTTCGCCTCCCTCTCAGGTTTATTTAATTATAAATCCCCATGATCTGAGGGGAAGAATGAAAAACAAAATGTGTTCTCCGTTCTGAGATGCTCCCCACTCCTCCTCCTTCCCAAACTGGAGGGCTGCAGCGGGGGCTTGTGGATGGGGGAGGCGGCCTTGGGTGAGATTCGCTCCTCTGGTTCCCCCAAAACCCCTTGCTCCTCAGGCTAACCAGCCCGAGTGTGCAGGTTGGTGCATGCATGTATACCATGAGAGAAGACGGGGACAGATTCCTGGAGTTGGTTGACTGAGATATGGACCCCCTGTTGTGTGTGTGTGTGTGGAGGGGGAGGGGTGCGGTGCAACTCAGAGATGGCATGAAGTTCATTCTCTCTTTGCAGGCAGGACTCTGGGATGCACCTCCTCGCCCAGACCACAGCCCCTCTGTCCACCTGCCCCTGCACACTCTGCTGCCCCAGCCCTGGGGAATGACCTTTTCCCCACCTCAAGGTCCCTGGGCTGGAATTTGGCTTGGAGGCATCTTGCTTGTCTCTGGAATGTTTTGGTTCCTTGAGTTTTCCTGACACCCCTGTCCCTCCGGGTAGGGTGCTGTGGGGGCCTGGCAGGTGCGACCAGGGCAGGTGGCAGGCTCCTAGTTGGTGTCCTTGTACCAGGGTGGCCCAGTGAGGCTCTCAGACACAGGCCAGCTGCCCCGTTTTCCTCCTGCTGGGCCCCCAACTTATGTGTGGAAGTGTTGCCTGAAGTTCCCAGGGCTAGATCTCTTCATGGTGCCACCCCCTCCCCAACGGCTCAGGGGCCCTGCAGACAGTGCCATTGTGCTGGCAGGGAAGTGGCCTGCTGCTTGCCAGGGGCTCTACCTGGAGAAGCACCATCTTCATGCCCCTGTGCCACCCCCAGCCTTGTGACCTGTGACAGCTCCAGCATGTGCCAGCGTAACAGGAAGCAGGTCTGGTCCAGGCTGCCCAGTACCACTGCTTTCTTAGCACACACTCCCCTGTCCAACTCTTCCCATAGAAAGACTGTATTTGTAGTGTGTGTGTGTGTGTGTGTGTGTGTGTGTGTGTGTGCATGAAGGATGAACCTCTGAGGCTTTATACAAACTCACACTGTGTCTGTATGCTCCTGTGGCATGTCTCGGGGCAAATGGGCCTCCGTGTGTGTGTGTGTGTGTGTGTGTGTGTGTGTGTGCAGCTGATGCTAGTGTGTGTGACTACGTAAGAGTCTGTACAGGAAAATGGGTGTTTTTGTTTGCACTTGGCTACCCTCAAAACGGTGCCTTGTGGCTGGCAATAGTGTGTGCAGCCGGGTGTGTGAGGAGAATGTACAGTTGGATGTGTGTCCCTTTGTGTAATGCCTATGTCTCAGGAAATCTGCACATGTGAAGGCTGTAAGAGTGACTCTTGGTGTAAGGCAAGCCAAATCTGTGTGTAGGAAAGTTTCACTGCATGTGAGCGTCTAGAGAAGACTAATCTGTTTGTGCCATGTGCATCCGAGTGTCTGAGAGAGACAGACCATGGCTATGTGTGAAGCTGCGTGTGTCTTTGGGCGGCTGTGGCTTTGTGTGTCTTCGGCCCCCCTGTGTGTTGACTTGTCACTCTTCGGCCCCCCGTGGTGGGGGATGAACCTAGCCACTGAGAAAGGGGTGAAACGTGTGTATCTGTATGTGTGTGCACAGGCACGGGCCACACAGCTGCTGCCACGTGGCTTCTCTCTGTCGCTCGGAAAGAGCATTGAAGGCCCAGTTCCAGAAAGTCCCCAGACCTGGGGTCCACTTCCCTGCTTGCTTGGGGGGGGGGGTTCCCTGCTTGACCAAATCCTGTATCTGGGAGTGGCCAGCTACTCTCTGGTCTGCCTGCAGCAGCCACATGGTGGAACAGAGGAGAGGGCAGGGGTGCGGGCAACAGCTGGAGAGTTTAGAAACTGCTTGCTCACTTTTCTTTTGTCCTCATCCCCACACTTCATATCCTTTACCCCAACCCCAGCACACACATGCGCACACGCACTCACACACAAGCGCGCGCACACACACACACACACACACACCATATAGCAGAAAAAAGGTGGGCTCTGCTGGGTTGGGTCTCTCCCTCCCAGTGCCACAAATGGGGGGGGGGGATTCTGTACCCCACCACACACACACACACACACACACACACACACACACACACACATACACACACCTCCTGAGGCTGGGACACAGGCACCTCGGGTCTCTGTCTTGCTGAAGGAAGCCAACCCCTCCCCTCCCCGAAAGAGCAAGCCCCCTCCTCATTGGGGTGACCGGAGCCCTTCCTCAGGCACACATGACTCGAAATCCAAGTCCTCTCCTCATTAATGGGAAAAATGTGCGGAGATTGAGCGATGGCCAAGGCTGAGCGATGGCCAAGGGCCGATCCCCTCCCTCCCGCCTTCCCTCCCTCCCTCCCTCCCTCGCTCTCTCCCCAGAAATTAAACAGAAATGAAGAGCCTCCCCTTTCTCCTGCCCACCCCCCTCTTCCCACCTCCCCGCGCCTCCTCCCTCCACTCCCTCCCTCGGAGCCAGCGCAGGGCTTGTTTTAAACTGTGGAGGAATCTGGCTGAAGCGGGGAGGGGGCCGAATATTTGGGTTTAAACAGTTCCAGATGGGTTTGGCACAGGCTGAGCAGAAGGAAGTGCGAGAGAGGGAGGAGGGAGGCAGTCCAGGGAGCGGTGGGAGCCTTGCCTGCTCGGGCGGCGGGCGGGCGGCGGGCAGGCAGCGGGCAGACTAGCAGGCGGACTGGCTGGCGGGCTGGGGGAGGGGTGCGCTTGGCTGGGCCGGCTCCCAGGGACGGGACGCTACTTGGGACTGCTGGCCGGGGAGGAGGCCGCTTGGCACCCTCCCACTCTGCCTCTGTCTCCTTGGGCCTTCTTGTCTCTCCATCTCGCTGTCTTTTGTCGTGCGCCGCCGGCCATCCCAGCTGTCTGGTCCCCGCCCGCCGACTCTCACATCTCTCCTGCCCGGTGCCGCCCCTGCTCGGCCGCCAGCCTCTTTCCCTGCTCCTCTCAGGGCCCCTGCTTCTGCCCATCCCCTCTTCCCTCTCAGTGTTGGTGTCTGTCTGCCAGAGGGACCTGTCCGGCCAGCCACCGACCCAAAGGCTGGGAGGACTCCCCTGCAGCCTGACCCCGGGGACCAGCACTGCGGGCCTCACTCAACGTGAAAGGCTGCTGCCTGGCTCCCCCATGGCCTCTGTGGGGCCCCAGGGCCATAGCTGTGTCCTCCACCACCCTCAGCTCAAACCCCTCTGTAGGAAACTGAGCAAGGCTGCGAGCCTGGAGCCTCTGGGGTTCGGGTTTTTTCCCTCTGGGTGCTCTCAGCCTGCCCCACTGCTGATGGAGAGGCCTCCAGAGGTTCTGGGGTGACTGTGCCCCATTCCAGCTCAGACTCGAGGGGAGGATGGCTGGTTGCCCTGTCTTCTAGGCTGTAAGAAAGGAGTTGACACTTCTTTGCCCTCTTTCCCCGCTCCTAGGTCTGATCTTGGGGTCACGCTGTCAGAGAGCAGCGTTGTCCAGCCAGAGCCCAGAATCAGGTTCTGAGGGGAGCAAGTTTGATGTCGGAAACATTCATGGGCTCCTCCTGTGGCAGAGCAAGGGGAAATAGATAAAGAACCACAAGTCAGAAAAGGATTGGTTCTGTGGCAAAGCCCCTAGCTCTGGGTGCCCAAGGAAGGCACCGAACCCTGACTTAGGGATTCAGGGAAGGCTTCCTGGAGGCGGTGACAGCTTGGTAGACTTAAAGGATACACTGCAGCTTCCCCTGTTCCTCTTTTACAGAGGAGCACATTGCAGCGAGCGTGCCCTGGGTAAGGGGTTAGCTGTGGAGTCAGATAGACCTGGATTGGAGCCACCACCTTCCAGCCCTTCACCTCAACTCCTAGCAGTTGCACACGAGGCCATGTATTTATCTGAGCTTTGGTTTTCTTGCCTGTGAAAGGTGTACACCAACAGTACCTTTCCCTAAAGATTGGGGGGGGGGACTGCACTAGCTCTCAAGGAGCTGGTCTGGGTCATGGTGGCCTTCCCCCCACTCTCAAAGGGCATTCCTGCCCCATCCCCCGGGTGGCTGAGGGGGAGGCGGGCCAGGGGGGGGGGGGAGTATCTAGCCTGTGACTGCCCTCCCCTTCCCCAGCTTGTGTGGGGCTGGCCTTTGTGTTGGGAATGGAGTCAGGGGAGGCCTGGGCAGCGGGGTCTGAAGCACACGGCCCTTTGTTTCCCCGCATAAAGGCCCTGCTGGCCCTTTGTGTGGAGATTAGCCGAGACTGGAGGTGTGTGAACTGGCCCCGGCTCTTGCCTCATTAACCCAGGCCCGGGGTCAGCAGCAAACACCCACGCTCAGCTGGCCCGACCTGACATCTCAGGGGCCCAGGGGCTGTGACATCTCTGGCGAGGGCGGCAGGGTGTTCTCCAGGGCAGGGGAGCTGGGGGGTTTGGGGACTTAGTGGAGGGGTGGAGTGGTGCCTGGGGGGGAGTTGGTCTCGTGTTTGGCTTTTCCTGGGGGACCTCTTCCTTCCCATCCTGAGCTTGGCCCCTGACCTTTTTTCTTCTGTTTGCTCCCCCAGAGACCCTCATGGACACAAAATGGGTGACATCTGAGTTGGCGTGGACATCTCATCCAGAAAGTGGGGTAAGTCTTCCTTCCTCACCGTCTCTCCTGGGTGTTGGTTGCTCCTTGCATGTCCAGCATCTGTCCTCCTGGCCATACCAGGGCTGGAGAACAAGGCATGCGCGCTTGCGTGATCTCTCTCTCTCTCTCTCTCTCTCTCTCGCTCTCGCTCTCGCTCTCGCTCTCGCTCTGCCTGTCAGTTTCACTTCCCGCAGCATCCGCATCCTTTTCACCTGTCACCTTCCTTCTTTGCCTGATGGCCCATCTCTCAACCTCCAGCCTGCCTGTGTCTGCCTGCTTCCCACATACATGATCTCTGTCCCATCCTCTACCCAGCCCTCAGCCTGTCTTCAGCCTATTCCCATCCCTCTCCAGCCTGACAGCCCTTTTGCTTGTCGGCCCTGACTCCCTTCTTCCTGGGTCCCTGGGAAGAGCTCTGGCTTGGGAAACCAGGAAACCTTGGTACCAGTTCTCGGAACTTGCTCTGTGACCTTGAGCAAGGCAGTTTATCTTTCTGGGCCTCCATTTCTTGATGACTGGATTCCTGTAATCCTGACATCACTAATTAACGTCCCTACTCGGCCTCCCTAACCACACGAAGCCCCGGACAATAGGGTTTGGTGGCACTGCAGGCCTTCAGCCGCCAGGCCTGACAGTGTGAGCTTGGGCAAATCCCTGCCTCTGTGAGCCCTGACTACTGCTTCTCTAGAGTGGGGACAGCAGATACACCTTCTCACGGGGCTGTTGGAAAGGATAAGTGTGTTAGCCCATTTTATTGAATGCTTCTCTGTACCAGGCACCGTTACAAGGACGTTACATGCTTTACTTCCTCCTAGCCTCATTTACTCCCGCTCAGCCCCTTTGTACAGCCAATGGCACGAAGGCGCAAAGATAATAAACATTGCGGCTGATACATAGTATTTATCGAGTGCCCTAAGTGCTCCGTTCACTTAAAGCCATTTATCCCTCGCACGTCTTTGTTCTTGCCGCGTCACCGGCGGGGAAACGGAGGCACGGGGAAGTCCAGGGACGTGCCCAGCGTTACACGGCAATGCAGAGCCCTGGGATCTGAACCCAGACGGCCTGTGTGTTCCGCTACTGCTCTGCCGAAGCATCTCTGTGGAGTAAAGGTAGCAGATCTGGGCATGTGGCGAGCACCTGGCCGACGTTGGCGCTCACTCCCTGTCTTTTTCACTCGGCCCGTGCGCAGTGGGAAGAGGTGAGTGGCTACGACGAGGCCATGAACCCCATCCGCACGTACCAGGTGTGCAACGTGCACGAGTCGAGCCAGAACAACTGGCTCCGCACGGGCTTCATCTGGCGGCGAGATGTGCAGCGGGTCTACGTGGAGCTCAAGTTCACGGTGCGCGACTGCAACAGCATCCCCAACATCCCCGGCTCCTGCAAGGAGACCTTCAACCTCTTCTACTACGAGGCCGACAGCGACGTGGCCTCGGCCTCCTCCCCCTTCTGGATGGAGAACCCCTACGTCAAGGTGGACACCATCGCGCCCGACGAGAGCTTCTCCAGGCTGGACTCCGGCCGCGTCAACACCAAGGTGCGCAGCTTCGGGCCGCTGTCCAAGGCCGGCTTCTACCTGGCCTTCCAGGACCAGGGCGCCTGCATGTCGCTCATCTCCGTGCGTGCCTTCTACAAGAAGTGTGCGTCCACCACCGCGGGCTTCGCCCTCTTCCCGGAGACCCTCACTGGGGCCGAGCCCACCTCCCTGGTCATTGCCCCCGGCACCTGTATCGCGAACGCTGTGGAGGTGTCGGTGCCGCTCAAGCTCTACTGCAACGGGGACGGGGAGTGGATGGTGCCCGTGGGCGCCTGCACCTGTGCCACCGGCCACGAGCCAGCTGCCAAGGAGTCCCAGTGCCGTGGTGAGTGGGAACTGGCCTGGGGAGGAGGGGCGGGGGAGGAGGGGCGGGGGAGGAGGGCAGAGGGAGGGAAGAGCTTGGCCCACAGCCGCCTATTGCCCCCTGTACGCCTATTGCCCCCTGTACGCTGCTTCCTACCTGCTAGGCAAGGTAGTCTGGTGTCAGGGCTGGGGTGGAGGAGGAAAGGGAAGAGGGGTATCAGGTGCAGAGAATGTGCTGCCGCAAGGAGGGAGCTGAGAGACGATGAGGAGAGGTAACAGGATGAAAAGCAGAAGAAAAAAAAGAAACTAAATAGAAAGGAAGGGAGATGGGAGAATTCTGGACCAGGGGACCCTGGAGAATCTAGTCGGAGAATCTAGTCAGAGACTCGGGAGGCCGGCAAAGATGCCTGTTTGTCCCAGCCCCAGGACACGCCGCACCCTGGAACTACAGCTGGGGGGAAATACCGTGCACTTGGCCCTTTCACCTTGAGGGTCTTATCTGCTCCCTGAAAGGCGGTACTTAGCACAGTGGGCAAGGACCCAGCCTCTGAAGCCTGCGTCCTGCCTCTGCCCTGTGAGACCTTGGGCAAATGGCTTAACTCTTGAACCCGGTTTCCGCATGTGCAGAACAGGGACAGTACCGGGTTCTTTGTGGAGGCCGAGTGGGGCTTACCTGAGTAGATGCCCGTGAAGCCTTGGCGCCGTGCCTGGCGTGTGGCGGGCACAGATGCTGTGGGAGCTCACTGGACTCTCGGGAGCCCTGGGGTGCACGGGGGCCAGGGATTGCTCTGTCTGTATTTCTCACGCGAGGAGGTCAGGAGGCTTGTCTCTGGCGGCTTGCAGTGTACTCCTAAGACCTTACAGCGTCTTACTAGGCTTCCCCTAATTGAGTCTCACCACAACCTTTTGAGGCTGATTCCAGTTATGTTCCCTATTTTGCCGATGAGGAAACTGAGTCTCAGAGAGGTTCTGCACCCAAGGCCTCCGCGATGGGCTCGTGGGAGCTGGGCCCAAAGCCTTGTCCAGCGCTTTACTACACAGCACAAGGTGCCTGGGCCTGTCTTCTGTCCCCTTTGTCCGGTTCTGTTGAGGGATGGGAGCTGGCCCTAGGCGTAGCCCCTAAGTGGAGGGGCTGGCTGCCCCAACCTGTCTGTGAGGGCCAGGGCTGGGTGTTGTCCTGAGAAGGTGAACAGTGCCTTACCAGGCCCCTCTCACTTTTCTAAGGGAACCTGCCCCCAGACTTCCTCTCTCTTAAGTGGAGAAAGGTGGTGGGGGTGATGAGCCTGACAGCCTGAAGAGGGGCTAACACTCTGCAGGTCCCTGGCAGGAAATGCATACTGGTTCCCATGGCAACCAGGCTGGCCTGGCCTCTGCCCCCTCCCCCACTGGCTCAAAGGAGCTTGGATGGAATATCACCTTCATGAGGGGAGATTAAACCCCAGGGAAAGGCGTAGCCCCAACCCCGGGCGGGCATTCCACACTCTGGATGACCTCCCCAGAGGCAGTGCTTGTGGAGAGGGTGGCCACCTGCTTTCCTGTGCCCAGGGCATCCGTAGTTTATGCCCATTGTCCTAGCATGATTATTACTAACGACCCCTTTAACTCTGGGAATATTCTGGTTTGAATAATAAGGTATATGGCCATCATGGATCAGACAGAGCCCAGGTCCCAGGGCCCAAGCACAGGCGGTAGATAGCAGAAGAGGCGGCAGGGAAGGTGTGTTCAGGCATCCAGCTCTGGGCTCTCTGAAGCCTGGGGTTCCCCCCGGGTGGATGCTGTGAGGCCTCTGAACTCCAGGTGACCCCAGCTCTCCTGCCTGCTTTTTTTTCTCTCCTTTCCTCACCCCTCTTCTGCCCTCAGCCCTGCCTAAGGGCAGAAAGAAGCTTCTGCCCTGCTCCTGGCAGGTGGGGAGAGAAGCTGGTTGTGAAGCTCAGAGGCCCCCACCTCCAGTCTGTCCTGGCATGCCTCAAGGGTCCCAGGGTTTCCCTCGGGCCTCGGAGAGGGGTGGGGGCAGCCCAGTGGAGCAGAGGGTGCTGCCAGTTCGCTAGTGGGCTCTCCCCACTGCCCTGTCTCTACAAGCCCAAGCTGTCCAGGCTGAAGTCTTCAGCATCGGGGCACCCGGTTGGGGGCAGGGTCAGGGAGGAATTCGCTGACGTGGGGTTTCCACGGGGAAAAAGGGCCTTTTGTAGCTGCGGTGGGAGTTGGGCAATTCCAGCGTGGCCCCCACAGTCTGGAAGGTGCTGGGGAAGGGCCAGGTTCTCACGGTGGTGTGGAGGGTTGGTGTCTGCGGAGAAGGAAGGGAGCTGAGCACACCCTTCTTCCTCTCCCCCACAGCCTGTCCCCCGGGGAGCTACAAGGCGAAGCAGGGAGAGGGGCCCTGTCTCCCCTGTCCCCCCAACAGCCGCACCACTTCGCCAGCCGCCAGCATCTGCACCTGCCACAATAACTTCTACCGCGCGGACTCGGACTCCGCCGACAGTGCCTGCACCAGTGAGTGAGCGCGCCCCCGCACGGGCTCCGGCTCCGGGCCTTGCCTGGGCCGGCCAGCCCGGGAGGGCCCACACGGTCACGATGAACATCTCCATTTTCCATGTGGGGAAACTGAGGCTCAGCTAGGAAGTGACCGGTCCTTCCACCCACATTTAATGAGCACCTACCAGCTGTTGAACATCAGGAACGGGCTGGGGCCTCCTGGTCCGCCTTCCTCTGTGCAGGACGGTGGCTCTCCTAGCCCAGCTCTCACCATTGAGCGGTCCTCACATCCATGGAGTCGCCTGGCCTCCCGCTCTCTCCCTGCTCTGGCCTTTGGTGTGCCAGACATGGTGCCAGGCACCAGGGATGTGGAAGAGAATAAGTTACAGTCACCGCCCAAAAAGCAACCTGGTGGGAGAAGCAGATATAAAGGCAGATAATGACCATATAACGTGCTAAGTGCTGGGCTGGAGGGATGCCCAGGAATTGTGTTGTGGGCGTGCGGAGGGAGGGAGAGGGTGAATTAGGAAGGCTTCCAGGAGGAGGTGGCATCTCACCAGGAGTCTGCCCGATGGAGAAGTGCGTGTAGTACAGGCACTCTGCTTACCCTGTTTCCCCGAAAATAAGACAGTGTCTTATATTAATTTTTGCTCCCAAAGATGCTCTAGGTCTTATTTTCAGGGGATGTTTTATTTTTCTACGAAGAAGAATACGGTACACATTTATTGTTAAATAAAAGGAAAGGAAATTTATTACCTGTATACGTTACGGTAGTTGTCAACACAAACCAGACAAACTGTGAATCCTACAGTGTCAAGAATTGAGTCATTTATTCAATGACAATCATGTCATCATCTTCTGGAACATCATCATAACAATCCAATTCCTGAATTTCCTGGTGAATTTCTTGTGACTCCATTTCTTTCAGAATCAGTGGACCAAATCTCTCATGTTTAGCAATAGCACTGTCTTTAAATGAGCACTTCTTGTCAAGGTAGCCTGTTCGCAGTGCATTTGCAATGCACTGTCAGTGATTTTTCTCCCATGAATTCTTCACCCAATTCACAACTTCTTGCAGTTTAGGTTTCACAAAGTTTACGGTAAATTAATTTTCATTCTGAGACAGAGCCTAGGGGGGCCTTATTTTCGGGGGATGCCTTATATCTCACTCAGAAGGAAACCTGTAAGTAGGTCTTATTTTCGGAGGATGTTTTATTTTCGGGGAAACACAGAGGTATTAACACAGAGGCGAAGGCGAGGAGGGAAAGGCAGGTTGGAGGGAGCAGGAACTCTGTGCAGAAGGAGGGTCCTAGGTCCCTTAGCTCTCTGCCTTCTCCCTCCTCCTCCTCCTCTGCAGCCGTGCCATCTCCGCCTCGGGGTGTGATCTCCAATGTGAACGAGACCTCGCTGATCCTCGAGTGGAGTGAGCCCCGGGACCTGGGCGGCCGGGACGACCTCCTCTACAATGTCATCTGCAAGAAGTGCCACGGGGGCCCTGGGGCCGGGGGCCCCTCGGCCTGCTCCCGCTGCGATGACAACGTGGAGTTCGTGCCTCGGCAGCTGGGCCTGACGGAGCGCCGGGTCCACATCAGCCACCTGCTGGCCCACACGCGCTACACCTTTGAGGTGCAGGCGGTCAACGGCGTCTCGGGCAAGAGCCCTCTGCCGCCCCGCTACGCGGCTGTGAACATCACCACCAACCAGGCTGGTGAGGAGGGCACTCGGGAGGGTCGGGCCTGGGTCACCTTCCCCAGACAGGGTTGAGGTTTCTTAGGGCCTGCCAATGGGCCACCAGGGGGGACCGTGGGACCTGGGTCCTTGGAGGAACCTATGATGAACCTCCCCCCCCACCCCCACTCTTCCCCTAGCCCCGTCCGAAGTGCCTACACTCCACCTGCACAGCAGCTCAGGCAGCAGCCTGACCCTGTCCTGGGCACCCCCCGAGCGGCCCAATGGCGTCATCCTGGACTACGAGATGAAGTACTTTGAGAAGGTCAGAGCCTCACGGGGCAGGAGGAGGCCTTGGGACAAGGAGATTACACCCAGAGAGTGTTAGGGACCCTTGGGAACAAGGCCTTGGATCCTGGGGTCGGGGGTGGGCGTGGGGGTCATGGGATGGGCCTGGGGGTGGGCAGGGGCTGCTGACCGGCTTCAGAACCCGCTGAGACCCTCCTTCCTCCTGGCGGTGCAGAGTGAGGGCATCGCCTCCACGGTGACCAGCCAGAAGAACTCCGTGCAGCTGGACGGGCTGCGGCCCGAGGCTCGCTACGTGGTCCAGGTCCGCGCCCGCACCGTCGCCGGCTACGGCCAGTACAGCCACCCGGCGGAGTTTGAGACCACAAGTGAGAGAGGTACGTCCCCCGCTGTGCCCGTTCGTGCGCCCCAGCCCACACGTCCCATCCGTCCCCTCACCGGTGCCCTCCCGTCTCCAGGCTCCAGCGCCCTGCAGCTCCAGGAGCAGCTGCCCCTCATCGTGGGCTCGGCCACGGCCGGGCTTGTCTTCGTGGTGGCTGTGGTGGTCATTGCCGTCGTCTGCCTCAGGTACGCCCGGGCCCATGTTTGCTCCCTTGGCTGACTAGGGCTTGTCTTAGTATCCTAGTGCCCCGGTGAATGAGTGCCCACCTCACACACCCCGAGCCACAGCTTCCTGGGCCTGGGCTCTCCTTGCTGGAAAGGTCCTCTCCAGTCCATGCCCACATCCTCACCTATGCCCTCCACATCCCCCGAAGCCACGGGCAGAGCTGCTTATCCACCAACCTTACAACCAGGCACTGGGCCACCCCCTCCCCCCAACCCCCCAACCCCCCCCCCCCGGGCACGCTGGCTGCCCCTCCTGTGTGCCCTCAGGTCCCCTGAAGCAAGGTTGCCGTGGGACTTGTCTCAGGCCTCCTCTCCCTCTCCTCCGCCCTCCAGGAAACAACGCCATGGCTCTGACTCAGAATACACGGAGAAGCTGCAGCAATACAGTGAGTGTGTCTCCTTAAGTTCCCTCGGTCCCCGCAGGGCTTGGAGATAGATGCCTCCTCCTGCTTCCAATCAGTGCCATTTCCTGAGCCCCTGCCTCCCTCCCACCAGCCTCAGGAGATGAATGAGGCGTGACCCCTGTCCTCAAAGGCAGTTAGTCCTGTGAAGAAGACAAGATGTGCACACATAGGAAACAATGAGAGAATAATTCAGTGTTAAGCTGGGTATTCCTGTTTCAAGGGCGGTAAGGGTTCAGAGAGGAGGAAGGCTTCCTGGAGGAGGTGGCCTGGGGCTGAGCTGAGCCTGGCGGGATGAGTAGGGTTTCGGGTGAGTAGGGTTTTGAGAGGTGGGGGCGGGGGGAGCATTCCTGGCTGGAGGAGCCTCTGGAAGGCCGTGGGTGGGGTCGGGAGAGTGCCCAACTGTGGGGGCAGTGAGAAGACTGGCTTGACAGCTGCTGGGAAGCGAGGCGAGGTACTGGCCGCCAGTCCTTGGAGGGTCGTGAAAGGCAGGCAGAGGAGTTGGGACTTGACTCCACTATAGGTAATGGGAAAGGCTCTCGAGCAGGGGAGCGATACAATGAGAGTATTGTTTTTGGGGAGACAGGTATGCGGGCAGATTGGTGGGAAAAGTCCAGAGGCAGAGAGCCCGGCTGGGAGGCGATTGCAATAGCTGGAGTGTTGAAGGCCTGGACCAGGACAGGAGCGGTGTGAATGAGGGGAGGGGCAGATGTGAGAGAGGCTTTGACACGATGAGAGATGAGGGTGAAAGAAGAATCCTAGGTGCCTTTTATGGCCACCGGTTCTCACAGAGGGAATGGTGGGGAGGGAGGGGGGGCAGCTGTGGCTTTGACAGAGAGGAATCTGGAGCTGGCTTAGCAGGGAGGTCACAACCTGTGCTCCCACAGCCTGAGGGTGCAGACTGACTCAGTGTCCTCACTGAAGAGCCGCCCCCTTTCACACCCGCCTTTTCTTCCTCTAGTCGCTCCTGGCATGAAGGTTTATATCGACCCTTTTACCTACGAGGACCCTAACGAGGCCGTGCGGGAGTTCGCCAAGGAGATCGATGTGTCCTGCGTCAAGATTGAGGAGGTGATTGGAGCTGGTGAGTCCCCAGGGGCACAATGGGAATTGGGGTGGGGGGTGGGCGGTACCCCAGGGGAGGGCGGAGGCAGGCTGGGTAGGAGCATTCCAGAAATAGCTTACTACCTGTGCCCTGTGCCCTGCAGGGGAGTTCGGGGAAGTGTGCCGGGGTCGACTGAAACAGCCCGGCCGCCGGGAGGTATTCGTGGCCATCAAGACGCTAAAGGTGGGCTACACCGAGAGGCAGCGACGGGACTTCCTCAGCGAGGCCTCCATCATGGGCCAGTTTGACCACCCCAACATAATCCGGCTGGAGGGCGTGGTCACCAAAAGTCGGCCAGTCATGATCCTCACTGAGTTCATGGAGAACTGTGCCCTGGACTCGTTCCTCCGGGTAAGAGCCAACCTCCGGCCCCTTGCCTGTCTCCTGCCCCGAAAAAGATGGGTTAGGCAAACCACTTCCTCCCACAAGTCACACCGACCCTGTTCAAGTCCATGAATATGTTTATTAAGGGAACCAGCAGGGACTTCAGAGCCTTCAGGAGGGACCCCAGTTTGCACCCCGACTCTGTCCCTCCTGCCTGTGTGACCTCAAGCTTTTGCTTACCTTCTGAGTCCAGCTGCCTTGGTTGTAAAATGGGAGTCCTCACGGGGATTGAGATGTTGTACAAAGATGCCTGCCACACAGTAGGGCAGCTTCCTTACGCTCAGTGCCCCCTGGACATGCTCACAAGGATAAGCAAAGCACAGTCTTGGAGGAGTTGGAGAGGGTGGGCAGGCAGGCGTTGGGCGGGCCCTGGGCCTGATTCAGCTTGCTCGTTGCCTCCAGCTCAACGACGGGCAGTTCACGGTCATCCAGCTGGTGGGCATGTTGCGGGGCATTGCTGCTGGTATGAAATACCTGTCCGAGATGAACTACGTGCACCGCGACCTGGCTGCCCGCAACATCCTTGTCAACAGCAACCTGGTCTGCAAAGTCTCGGACTTTGGCCTCTCCCGCTTCCTGGAGGATGACCCCTCTGATCCCACCTACACCAGCTCCCTGGTACAGCAAGCAGCTGGGAGGGAGCCTGGGGGCGGGGCCAACCAGGCAAGGGCTCGGGGCTGGGGATCAGCCCGGAGTCATAGGGTGAAGGGCATGTGCCCCCCCCACCAGGGTGGAAAGATCCCCATCCGCTGGACTGCCCCAGAGGCCATAGCCTATCGGAAGTTCACCTCCGCTAGCGACGTCTGGAGCTACGGAATCGTCATGTGGGAGGTCATGAGCTATGGCGAGCGACCCTACTGGGACATGAGCAACCAGGATGTGAGTGGGACCAGAGTGGTCCGGCGGGTGGGGGCTGGCTGGGGGGTGGAGTGGGTTGCTCACTCCAGGTCTCCCTGTGTTCTCTGCTCAGGTCATCAATGCCGTGGAGCAGGATTACCGGCTGCCCCCACCCATGGACTGCCCCACAGCGCTGCACCAGCTCATGCTGGACTGCTGGGTGCGGGACCGAAACCTCAGACCCAAATTCTCCCAGATTGTCAACACCCTGGACAAACTCATCCGCAACGCTGCCAGTCTGAAGGTCATTGCCAGCGCCCAGTCTGGGTCAGTACCTCTGCGTCTGCTCCGACCCTGCTCTTAAACCAGCAGCCCTACCCCAGCTTCCTCTGTCTTTAGGACTTACCAGGTCCCTCCCTTTCGCCCACAGCATGTCACAGCCCCTCCTGGACCGCACAGTCCCGGATTACACAACCTTCACGACCGTTGGTGACTGGCTGGATGCCATTAAGATGGGGCGGTACAAGGAGAGCTTCGTCAGCGCGGGGTTTGCATCCTTCGACCTGGTGGCTCAGATGACCGCAGAGTGAGTGTGCCTCAGATTTGGAGGGGCAGGGCAGGGGGGTCTGAGCTGGGCACAGGGTAGTGAGCAGAAGAGGAGGGACTGACCCTGCCCTCGGTCCTTCTGCAGAGACCTGCTCCGGATCGGAGTCACTTTGGCTGGCCACCAGAAGAAGATCCTCAGCAGCATCCAGGACATGCGGCTCCAGATGAACCAGACGCTGCCCGTGCAGGTCTGACACCCAGCTCCCACCGGGTGTGCGTGCCCCGCAAGGACTACACAGGGACTCCGACCGGCCGGCAGGACTCTTAGACTTTCGGGTGCCCGGCCTTCGGCTGCTGCCCAGAAGATGAACGTTTGGGGAGGCCCACGCTGGGACTTCTCCTCCAGGCCTATGCTCCCTCCCCGGAAGGTGTGCCCAAAACCTCTTCATATTGAAGACGGATTAGGAGAGGGGTGATGACCCCTCCTCAAGCCCCTCGGGGGGCCCAGGCCTTCCTGTTCTCCAGTGGGGGATCCCCCACCACTTCAGACGTGGCTGTTCTTCAGTGGAGGCCCTGGCAAGGGCAGGTTGGGGATAAGCCTGGGTTCCATAGGGCCCAGCCCTGGCAGGGGTCCGGCCCCCCAGGTAGGAAGAGAGCAGTCCCTCCCTCAGGAACTGGAGGAGGGGACTCCGGGAATGGGGAAATGTGACACCCCCATTCCAAAGCCAACTGGCGCCTCCAGTTTGCACAGGGACTTGTTCTGGGGGCTGAGGGGCCCTGCCCCACCCCCGCCCTTGGTGCTGTCATAAAAGGGCAGGCAGGGGCAGGCTGAGGAGCAGCCCTTGCCCCCCACCCCCACCCCCAGAGACTGACTCTCAGAGCCAGAGATGGGTTTTGTGTGTGTGTGTGTGTGTGTGTGTGTGTGCAGAGAGCGTGGGTGAGCGTGTAAAAGCTTGGCCCTGGGCCCTGCAGTGGGGCCAGCTGGGCCTTTCAGCGGAATAAAGGCAGTAAGTCGATTCTCTTGCCCCTTCTTATTCCACTCCCAAGGCGGGATTCCCTGGTGCCCTCAATTTTGCAGTCCCGGGGTGCCAGCTCTTCAGAATTTCCTGGAGTCACTGGGAGATCAGATCCAGGCTCGACTTCCCTGTTTTGCTTTATCGTCAGTGCGTCTAATGTCTTGGCAGTGGGTGATGACAGTAGAGCAGAGCGCCAAGTACCCCGGAGCTCCCTCTAAGGCCCAGAGTTCCTGGATGGAGGTGGAGGGGGGGGTCTAATTAGTGTTTTACAGACAACATCCTTTCACACCCATTGTCTCAAGTGGCTGAGGGCAGAGCGGGTTGGTCCACTCCCAGGGTCACGTGGCTAGGGACAATGGTGTTTAGCTGGAGAGGCCAGCACCCTTCAGCAAACATCAGCCCAGACGTGTGGCTCTTTTCTGAGCCGAGCCCGCAAGGGAATTCCAATTGGGGTGATAGCTAGCTAGGGGTTGGCGGGGCTGCAGGCCTGGAGGCCCGGGGGACCAGGCCCTGGAGGACAGAGGCAGCCTGGAGTCTGGGATGGAGGGTTTTGTTCGGTGCCCCGCGGCCGGCTGCCTGGGAGGGAGGGAGAGAGGAGCCCGGGGGGCGGGGCGCGGGGAGCTCGCTGCGCAGGCTCCTGGCCGCTCCCGCTGCTTAGCATTCCCGCCACGGAGCCCGCGCCACGCCGCAGTGGCTGCCCGGGCAGGGGCGCCCCACGGCACCCCGGGGCGCGGAGGGGGTGGGGCTGGGGCTCCTTGGCGGGGCCTCCTGTCTGCCTGGTTGGGGAACTCTGCAGGAGGCGGGGCAGGAGGAGGATGCGGGGCCGGGGTCGCTGCGGGCTTGGGCGCCGGAGCCATCAGTAGCGCGAGGTGTCGCCGGCCGCGGGGGGAGGGGACGCGATGCCGGGTGCGGCCGGCACATCTTGCGCCGCATTCCCGGGGTGAAGGCTCAGATAAAGGGGTGGAGAGTGGGGGACGGGGGGCGATCCCAGCTCCCGCGCAGGTATCCACTTCCTACTTCTCTGGCTGCTCCGGCTCTGGGACGGGAGAGGGACGGTGGCCCAGGTCTCCTGGAGCGACCCCCTCGCCGTCCTATGCTGCTCTAACCATGTTAGCGGGAGGATGGATTAGGGGCTCTGCCGGAAGAGGTAAGACGTCGCCCCCTACTGGGTTCGCAGGAAGGGCGGGATCGTAGACTGGGAGCACCAGAGAGGTGGGGGAGAGGGGGGGACGCCGGAGCCACACACTGACCAGGGTCACTTGGTGTGTGCGGTGGGGCCCCCACACCTCCAGGCTGCAGATTTCGAGGGACGTCTTGGCCCCAGAAATCCAGGGTGCGTAAGGTACTCTGCTGGATGTGCCTGGAGCCCATAACCTCCCTCCACGTGTGTCCATTGGCCTGGAAGCCCCACCCTCTTGCACACCTCGCTCACACACACGGAAACTGCGGGCTGGGGCACGCCACAACCAAAGCCACACCCACACCCTGTCCCCGAGTCACCTCCCTTACTCCGGTTCACAAGTCTTCAGTTACAGGACCTTCCCTGGCCCCACCTTCCAACCCTCACGCCCTGAGAGGTGGTGGGGGAAGGGATGCAAAGGAGGAAGGACAAAAGCCATCCCCTTTCCGGAAGTGCTTTCCTACCCTGGCTGCTGAACCAACCAATCCAGCAACCTGTGTGAGGCCGCACACCCTGAGCAGGGGTGTGAGGACGGGTGGGCTGTGACTACAGCAAAGGAAGAACGTGGGTATTCAGGAGGGGCCTGGCTTTCCTGCAGGCAGATAAGGAGTGAGAGGGAGTGAGGTCTTAATCTGCCCAGTTTTGGTTAATTACACACACTCCTGGGGATAAATGATTAGATCTGCCAAGTTAGTGCTTAAAAAGGGAAGCCAGTGTGAGTGTGTGTGTGGTTGGGGGGGGGGGGGGAGAAAAGAGGGAAGGTTTGGAGTTGGGGGGGGAGTGGGACGGAGGGGGGGAGGAGAAAGGAGGGAAGGTTTGGAGTTAGGGGGGTGTTGAGGCTTGGGGGTAGGCAACTGTCTCTTACCTACCCCCTCCCCCCCTTATCCTAACTGCCCAAGAGAGGCAGTCACAGGCCCAAATGACCTGTTTTGTGCCCCTCCCTGTGCCTGAACTCTGTAGGGACAGGTAAGAAGAACATGCTGCTCTACGCTGCTCTAGCCTCTGCTTCCCTCTCCTCCAGGATGGCCCCAGGAAGCAGGAACCTGGAGAGCAGCCCTTAGATCTAAGCCTGGATGTCCAAGTCCTGGATTAAAACCTGAAAAGTCTGGAGCCACTGGGGTAGGGCAGTGGGAAAGGCATAGATTTAGAGCAGCGGTCACCGACCTTTGAGACCTCCGTGGTCCTCGCCGGTTGGTGACGGCTGATTTAGAGCACAGGCAGAACTAGGGTCAAAGCCCAGCTTCCTAGTCTGTGACCTTGGGCAGGTGGGCCTCTCTGTGCCTCAGGAGGATCTAGAAAAAGGTACAGTGATCATTCCTACCTCAGGAGACTGTTACAAACACCAGTCAGTTGGTATATGTGAAGGATGGGCCAGGATCATAGTGAGTACTCAAAAATGTCAGCGACTATTTTTTTTTTTAATATATATTTTATTGATTTTGTACAGAGAGGAAGGGAGAGAGATAGAGAGTTAGAAACATCGATGAGAGAGAGTCATCGATCAGTTGCCTCCTGCACACCCCCTACTGGGGATATGCCCGCAACCAAGGTACATGCCCTTGACCGGAATCGAACCCGGGTCCCTTCAGTCCCCAAGCCAACGCTCTATCCATTGAGCTAAACCAGTTTCGGCGACTATTTTTTATTAATATGAAGCTTAAATACAATACAGATAGGAACAGATAGGAAAAACGCTGAATACAGCTTGGCACTTGCAGGGTTCAAAGGCACCAAAGCTCTTGGGGAAATCCACCAACCCCATTCCACCCATGGGGATGCCGAACGCTTTGATGCAGGCTTAGCCCGGGCCTTGGCCCACTTCCTGAGAAAAGGCTGCTGGGGCCTGGGTGGTTTGAAGGCCACGAGAGTGCAGAAGCTCGTTATGGGGGAAAGAAGGCAGCAAGCTGCTGAGGAAGCCTGGTTTCTTCATTTCTCCCTTTGGCCCAGTGATCCTGCACCCCCTCCTGGAGGGCGCTCTTCCCATTCATTGATTCTCCAAATATTTACTGGATATTTACTATGTGCCAGGCACTGTGCTGGACACCAGTGACACTGGGAAGAGCAAGAACAGAGAGACCTCAGTCTAATAGGGACATGGAGGCTGTTCAAACCATCATACAAAGAAATGTATATATAATCATAAGTCGGGGCAAATGTTACCCTTGTGGGACTAAATCACACCTCTAGGGACTTGAGCTAGTTTGGGGCAAGGCTGGGGGCCCTCTAACCAGTTATCTGATGCTTAGGAAAGAGAGCTGGGGCTCCCATTACCCTCCAGGTACCTTTAACTTTTTGGCATCAGACCCTGACTTTATCTTTATTCACTTTCTCCCTTATTCATTTATTCAACAGACCATCATTGAACCTGTCCATATGCCAGTCCCGGAGCGTGGAGTTAGGGAAGCGGAGATAAACCTGCTATAGCACCACTCCCTGGAGGTACCCATAGCTCAGAGGGGACACTAATACTAGTATATAAATCAGCTAATATGATATGATGATGTAAATGCTACAGTGAGTTAAGCACTAGGTACTATAAGAAAGGGATCCAGGCTAGGAATTCTGTCAAAGAAGACTGCCCAGGAAAGTGACTTGAAGTAAGCCTTGGAGGCTGTTAGTAGTTAGCAAGAGGGGAGGAGAGAGCAGTATATGCAAAGGTCCTGGGACAGGTGAGAGCAGGGTAGTTTATTGATCAATGTCATATGTCCACGACCCTCTTCCAACTCAGATATGTGACCTTGACTAAGTCATTCCCCATAATTCATCCCCAGTTGGGGCCATCTGCTTCCCATAACCCCAAGAGCCAGTCTTGGGCACCTGTTCCCAGCAGTTCTACAATTCCACATGTCCTTTGGGCACCCCATAGGTTGCTATTTCTGTAGTCCCCTGCTCTCCCTCTTCTCTACTGCAAGGTGCATTTGCCCTCAAGCGTGTCTGAGAACATGATTCATTCTATCCCTAGTTCCACAGAAGAGCTCAGAGAGATTACATGGCTTGTCTGAGGTCACAGAGTCAGTCAATGGCAAAACAAGATCTGAATCTGACAAGCCATCCATGC